ATAATTTTTAATTTAAAAAAAAAAAAAACAGAGGAACTAGATACTACTCGAAATACTCTCTGGCCACATACAAAACAGTACAATCATTTTCCATCTAAAACTCGGCACAATATCAAATATTGGTACTTTTTTAGTAACCACAGTGCATTCATTTAAATTTCTGAGTAGCCATGATACGCCAATGGTTTGCATTAAAAGCATAATTTACTAAATTTGTTGACCTAACATCATTCTACATTTTTCTCTATTCTGTTAATATTAATAAATTATTTTTCTTAGCAATACTCTCAAGTTGAATTTTCTCTAAGTGTATATATTTTGTTTGTTTTAATGTCTGTTGGTGCCACCTTATCTTTTGAGTATTTGTTTTATGTTTTCATTTTTTAATAAATAATCAGACATCATTTATAGCCAGAGTTGGTTGGTAGTTTGTATGTCTTATCTGTAATGTAGTTTGGAGAACAAAAAGCATAATCCGAACCTGAAAATCATCATATTAAGCTAGTTATTCAAATTTGCAGCATTTACTTATTTGTATGGAAACATCAGAATAATGCTTTACAACTATCTTAAGAATGAAACTGAATCTCATAGAAATAATTTGATTAATGTCAAATATAGTATTTTTACAATTTTTAGAGCATTTGTAATTTTGCTAGTTATATTTATATACAAACATTTTAATAAATAGGAATGTATTTCGAGACTATTTTGGTTTGTTTTTATTATGTAAAGCACTTGACTCAAGAATATTTAGTCTGGGCTTACGGTGGTGTGACTCGTTTTCTTCTTTACATTTTTCTACATTTTCCATATTACCCATAGCTCATATGTAGTTCTTTACAATCAGAAAATAATGTCATATTTAAAATAGTGTCAATATTAAGAGGCATACATTGAATTACTTTTAAGTACTATTAACAGGAAAAAAACTGTTTTTAGCACCAATATTTTTTCAAAAGGATGATAAAACTACTGTACTCTCTTATGGCAGGTATGGGATGGCACCAGGACACCATTTCCATCTTGGAGAGTCTTAATACAAGACCTTGTTCTTGAAGGTGATTTAAGCCACATCCATCGGCTACAAAATCTGACAGTAGATATTTTAGTCTACGATAACCATGTTCAAGTGGCAAAATTTCTGAAGGTGATGTTGAATAGAAAAAAATGTTATTTTATGTTTTTATAAATTGTAGTGATTTTTGCCCATGTAAGTTTTTTATATATGGTTACATTTATAGGTGATATTTACAGCTTAGAAATTATTATTATTTTTTTTTTTTGCTTTTTAAGTTGTAAAATGTATGTCACATTAAATTTTAAAAGATAAATCTAATGGGTTAGAACATTTTTTAAAATAATTTTTCTTAAATATCTTAAAGCTAAGCTATACATAACTCTTCCATGAAAATAGTAAAAAAAAAAAAATGTATTGTGTGAAATAATACTGCTTTAGAATGACAGGATAGATAAAATATTATTAATGTTAAGCTTGGTAAACTGGTTTGATAGAATATAGCTTGTAACTTCTTGCTCATTAGTTAAAGACATTGTTAAATCACCTCTAATATGATAAATTGGGTGTGTGTGTATACTGTGTACTTTATAGAATTTGCATACTGTCTTTTGAAATACAGTGAGGTACACAGTTTAGATATGGCAGTATTTAACTATTAACAAAAATCGTAGGGAATATTTTTTCTCTATTGTATCTTCTATTTGAAAGTACTTTTTGTAGTAAACAATGGTATGATAAATAATACAGTAAATAATAAGAGTAACCTTTGCTAGGCACTTCATATGCATGAGTAACCTTTGCTAGGCACCTTCATAAGATAGGTGATGATAGTCATCTTGTTCTACAAATGTGAAGTGAGGCACTCAGAGGTTAAACCAATGATTCAAGATTCCACAGCTAGTTGGATTGAAGCAGGATATTTCCCAAACCCCTTCGAAGGCAGGAACTGGAATGCACAGGCGCTGGAACCAGCCTGCCACTTCAGTGCTGGCAAGGGCGAACTGCACTCACTCAGACCCCCTGTGCCCTACCCCTTGCGGGAAGGGGAACACACAGGTGAGCAGGTGCAGGAACTGGGGCAAGGGCTTTTGGGCCTGGACAGAAGCAAAGTCCGTACCGGCCCTGCAGCAGCATCTGAGAGAGTATCTGTGACCCCTGAAGCCCCAGAGGTAGTGTTGCAGTACTCTTAACTCTGCTGTCCATGGACACCTTAAGTGTTAATAGCTCAGTGGAGGGTTGTTGTGACAGGCTTTCGCACCCACAGTTGTGGCACCCGAGCTCTTGTCCAGCATCCAGGAGTATGCGGTCTTAAGCATAAATTGAAGATGGTAAATGCAGGGGATTTTATTACTGATAAAAGTGACTCCCAGCAGGAAGGGGAGCTGAAAAGGGGATGGAGCAGGAAGGTAGTCTTCCCCTGAAATCCAATCATCTCTGGCCAGGTTCTTCTCCCAAGTTACACCATCAAGCTGTCCCTCTGAAATCAAGCTGCTTTTCTCTGACATCCAGCTGTAGTCTCTGATGGTCAGCTGCCTCTCTTCTCTCTGCTGGCTCAGCCTTGGGTTTTTATGGGCACAGGATGGCATGTGGGGTGGGCCATGGGTGGTTTTGGAAAAGGCAACATTCGAGCAGGAAAACATGGATGCAAGTTCTCACTTTGGGCTGTGATATGAGGCTTTTCAGCTTGAGGGCAGGGTCCTTGCTGGGAACCTGCCCTCTTCTTCTGAGAATTCCCCCACCCTCTGTTCCTATCAGGATGAAGCCAGTGTTTAAACCCATCATGTCTCCTTCCAGAGCTAATCCTTTAAAGCATTAAATGGAAGTGATCTACATCACAAATATCTTCTAGCCTACTTATAGGAAGTTAAAAGAAGACAATAAGAGTAAAGATCTGAATTTCCCTTTTCACTGAATGCCCAATTTCCCTTTATAAATCAGTGGCCATGGAGGAACAAATATATCCATTGTATATTGTATTACAAATAAGTTCACTATCAACACTGTTCTGGGTTGCAGAAAAAAGAATAAAAATTTTAAAAAAAACAAAACAACAACAAAACAAATAAGTTCACCCAACTCAAATCAATAAATTAGATTAAATCCAAGGTCCAGGAAGATACTGACTGCACTTTTTTGTCCTCTATAAGTGTGTACGTGTGCACATACATCAGTACATCAGTGACATATCAGAAAACACTGACTGTTGAAGATTTTTTTTTGACATTATTTCCCTGAAAGATACTATCCACATTGATTCATTTATTTCAAAAGTAAATATACTAAGTCCAGTTCTGAAGGTTTTTTCATAGAAAGAGTTCTTTCATAAATAAAATGAATTTACATTTTAGATTCACCTTAGTTCCACACTCTGCATACCTACCTTCACCATTTAATTCTCTTTTCTTTCCCTATACTGCTTCCATAGGTCTTTCTGTTTCCCCGCTTTTCCTTCTTTTCTTGTCTTAGTCCTAAACAGCACCTATCACAGTGCTTTCCCTATAGTAAGAATGAAGCAAATTGTAGCTGCTGCTGAATGAATGAATCAGTGAGTGCCATGTTTTTTTTTTTTTTTTTCAAATTCTTTTCTCCTTTTTTATGGTCTGCTTTATTTTGCTCACTAGAGGGTGATATGAGCACACATAATTAAGAAAATGTATGGTACTGTGTTTTCTGTAAAGATATAGCATTACATTATTTGTCTGCAATGCAATATAAAAATGAAAAGGATTTTTCTCTGTAATATGACTTTAGATTTTTATTTAATATACATTGACATTACATTTATTTGTTTTCTGACAACCTGTGTAACATTTCTTGTTAATTTAGAAACTTCACTCACATGACATTGATATAAATGAATTCTTCTTGATACTTTCAAGACAACTGTTTAAAATTGCATTTTTCTATCAAAATATCTGGAACCAATTCAAAAGACTTTTGCTGTGTAGGAGCAGGAAGAAAATGTGTTTTTATTTTAATAAAGAGGATAGTATAATGCAATTATAGAATATAATCAACATCTACAAACAATACATTTTAGAGCCTGAATTGCCCTTAACTATTTTGTGTATCTTGTTTTTTAAGTATGTTACATTATTCCCTTGAACATTTTACACAGACTCAGTCACATAAACTGACATTTCAAACCTTTTGTCTAGAAACTAAAGTTTTCCTTTCTAAATCCCAACTCTTAACCAGAAACAATTGTTAATTACAAAATATGCATGGTCATAATTAAGTTTTGACCTTTACTTGACCAAAAACTGTGATTTGATTGGCTATTTTGAGACATATTCAGGGAATTAAAAATAGCAAACCTAAAGAAAAATTCTTGACAGTTTATGAGGAATAATTTGATTATTTCTAAAGGGATAGTCATTTCTTACCAGCCATATTTACTTTGCTTTTTTTTTTTATTAGTGTTTCGGTATAGAAATAGACTTCTATAATAGTTTTTTAAATTGTTTTTATAATTTTTTAGTTATGATTCTTCATTTGTGTTTTCAGAATCTTAATACTGATAAGATTAACCAATACTTATGTTTTATAGTAGAACACCTGGCATATTTCGTAGCATTTTTAGTCAAGCTTTTAAAAAAATACAATGCTGCCTCCATAAGGAATTTTTGATAATAACAACTTATCTTTATGTGAATGACTTATATCTTGGCCTAGAAATTTTGTTATATTTAAAAATACAGTAGTAGAGAAGATAGTATAATAAACACCCATATGTTCACCTTATTTTTAAATGTTCTGCCACATTTATTTCAAACACTTTTACATTTTAGGAAATAAAACCCTACACATCAAACCTTCTTTGTGCTCTGCCTGTTCTCATTTTTTTTTTTTTTTTTTTTTTTGCTCCCCACATCCCTCTCTCTGTGTCTCCACATGTGGGTTTATATGTACACCTATGTTTATTATCCTTTTTCTTTATGTACTTTTTGATAGGGTAAAGCCCCCATCTCATATTCTTCAGAATTGAATTTGACTATTCTCTTTTGTTTTTGGATTTGGTTTTCAGATTCCATTAAAGCTTCTGGGGATTTTGATTGAATTGCATAGAATGTAAAGTTTAATTTGGAGGAAATTACCATTTTTATAATATCAAAGCTTTTAGTATATGAAGATATATCTTTGTCCATGTGTTAGGCCTTCTTTCCAATCTTTTGTAGATCATATATACATGTGCTATACTAATATATATGCATATATATGCACACATATTTTAAAAGAATCACGAAATAATCCAGTCAAAAAGAATGAGATAAAACTAGAAATTTTTATATTTTTTCCACTGTCTCACTTTGAAGACTATGAGGAAAATGAATTTTTTCTTTTTCTTTTTGTGCTTTTCTTCTTTAACTTTCTTTATACTACTCCTGGCTATGACATAGATGTAAGTGAAAAAGGTCAAAGAAGAAAAGGCTTTATCTTATCTCCTCCTCATAAAACCCATGATTCAATGAGAAAAAAGATCTTTGGGAATGAACAAGTAGCACCCGAGACTGTGGGTTTTCTCCTTACCTCCTTTACTGATATCCTACAATAAGCAGAATTGGAAAGTTCATTTAATATTCATCTTTTTTTAGTGTGTTTCCCCTGATAGGATTGAGCCTCCGTAATCTGAAAGTCCAGAAGTCTCCAAAATGCAAACCTTTTGAATGCCAATATGAGATAGTGATCTTTTTGCTTTCTGATTATTCAGTGTACAGAAACTTTGTTTCATGCACAAAAATATTGTAAATATTGTAGAAAATTACCTTCAGGTTATGTGTGTAATGTGTAATATGAAACATAAATGAATTTTATTTTTGGACTTGGGTCTCATCCCTAAGATATCTCATTATGTATATGTAGATATTCCAAAATCCAAAAACCTCTGAAATCTGAAGCACTTCTAGTTTCAAGTATTTCAGATAAAGAATTCTTAACCTATATAGCTTTTCTGTTACGTAAGATGTCTGTTACTTAATCCTGAACTTTTAGGTAGAAAGAGTGGTATCCCTATAGTCAGTCACCCAGTAGTCAGGAGTGCTGTTTTTATACAAATGAATTAAATTTCCTTGTTTGTAACTCCTTTTGTTTCTAAATCCTTCTTCATAAATATAAATGTGATTTAGGTGATCTAGCTGCTGCTTTTAGATAGATGTCAATATCTCTGAATAGCATTCTGCATCTCTTTCATATGAAATCTCCATTATAAGAAAAATCTCAGTGGTCTATAATTAAAGACATTTGTAGGCTACGTTTAGCAAAACATCTGAGATTAATTATGGAACATTTAATTCAAAACTATAGTTAAATCATGTTTGAAGTCACAGAGTGTTTCACACTATGGTGGTGCAGGCACAAATGCAAAAGTTTTCTTTCCAGATAAGTTGTAAGATGGAAGATGTTTATTATTTTTAGATGGTACCACACTAAAATTTCTTCTTAGTATTCTTGTAATGACAGTATCTTAGGGATCATATTTAATTAATCCTTAAACTAGTTAAAGCAAGACATTTTCAGAAACCTTAGTCAAATAGAGGGCTTGAATTCCATTTAGGTAATGGATTTCTTAACCATTGTATTTTATTGATGCAAAGACAGAATTTTTTTTTCAAAATGGAAAAATCTATTAGAATTGAATGTGTGTGTATATGTACGTGTGTGCGCACATGCGTATGCATGCACATGTCCATATGCTTAGTTTTGATCTAGTGTCCATGCAGCTGACATTCAGCCACAGTGGTATAGCATACTTTGCAGATACTTTAGTATATTTTCTGATTGGTCGGTGCCCTGGTTGTTGTTGGTCGTTGCCCCATATTAGTTATTAAAGTTTTAAATATCAGAAATATTTTAATTTTCCCCTGCTTTCTAAATAACAAATCATCTATTTTTAGGTTGGAAGCTTTCTTAGAATCTATAGCCTTCATACCAAACTTCAATCAATGAATTCAGAGAATCAGACAATGTTAAGTTTAGAGTTTCATCTTCATGGAGGTACCAGTTATGGTCGGGGAATCAGGGTCTTGCCAGAAAGTAACTCTGATGTGGAGCAACTGAAAAAGTAAGGTTTTAATGTAAATATTTAGAAAATGTGAATAAGGTATTCATTAAGCTGATTTCTAAGAGCATATTGTTCCTGGGGGTTCTGATAGGTTCCTGTTTGATCCTTATAGCCTTTTGTGCCATTCTCCATGTTTTTAAGTAGATGAGGCAAATGAAACAAATCAACTGATTATAGGTTCGTATAGCTAAGTAGTTGCAGAGCCAGGGTTATAGTTGAAGTTTTCTAACAGTTAAATTCTGGCTTTTACAGTCATGCTTCTCTTGTATCATTTGCCACACTGTCCAAGTACAGCAATATACAGTGAAAACTAGACCTTAGCCAAAGTTAGGAAAATTTGATACATATCTAAGATTCCAAAAATATTTAATTCTCTCATAATGTGTGTGTGTGTATGTATGTATATTTCTGAATTGCCACCAATTAAATAGATAACACATGTTTTGGTGTGCCACTTTATTTTAAACCTTTTGAAAACATTTTTAAAACTTACATGTGCCAAGAAGTAAATAGTATCTTAAACCTGCTATATATTTAGTTCTCTTTTTCCCTCAGTGTTCCTAGCAAGTATTGTGTGCAGAAGCATTTTGGTCAATATACTAGAAATTTTAAAAACCTGCATATCTTCAAAGAGAAAACATACTGTTCAGTAAATTTAAATAACTTTTGTCTAAATTTCAATTCATTGAAATCAGTGTGACTCTAGCTTCTGTTTTATTACTTTTATATCAATTTTACTGATTTTAATATTGCTATAAATAGCAACATAGTATTTAGCTTCTTGAATCTAGAGTGAGATTGTTAAGACTCAGAATGCCATTTGTTAAATTCCCAGTTTATTTTTGTTTACAGTATTTCATCATTCTGCTGTTCCATTTGTATCTTTCTACACTCAACTTTTTAATTTTGAGGGGCCTCAGAACCCTCAGATAATCTGGTAAAAGCAGTAGTCCCTTAACTGAAGAATGCATATACACACAAAATTTTATATACAATTTCAGTGAATTTCTGGATTTTATGGGTAGAGCTAAATTTACTATATTGACTTTGTTTTATGCAATTTGAAATTCTATTCTTTCAATTATAGGGATTTAGAATCTGCAAATTTGACAGCCAATCAGCATTCAGATTTCATCTGTCAATCAGAACCTGACGACAGCTTTCCAAGTAAGGACAATCTTTAACATTGACAGTTTAGTTCCTGCTAAATAAAATAAATAAATTAGTTTTATCAACATAATTATTTTTAATGCCTTCTCGTTGTCTCCCTTAATAAAAATTTCACATAGTAGAGGAACATACTAAAATCTTTGTCTGTGTCCTGTGCCAAAAAGTAAACATGGTTTCTTCCTAAATTATATAATTACATTTTCAAACTGGATGGTAGTGATTATTTGATTAGGATATATACATACCGTGTGTGCATATGCACAAGAAAATCTGTATTGATTTCATAGACAACTATTTTGCTTATAAGTTTTTAAAGGGAACAAAGATTGTTTTTGCCACTTATTTCACATAGCCCAAGTACTTTTTGCTCATACATATGTTAGATGTATACATAGTTCCTAGTCTTTATTGAATTAATCAGTCATCTAATTACAAAATATTAACAAACAGTGGAATGTATCCTTATAATATTGTCTACCTGAATAGGTGGCTCATCAAATCTGCACTTGAAAGCCTCAATGTGTATTATTTTTTTCTTTACCACTTAGTGTTAATTTCTGGGTTTTTGTTTGTTTAAGAGACAGGCTCTTGCTCTAGTAACCAGGCTAGAATGCAATGGCATGATCATAGCTCATTGCAGCTTCAAACACCTGTGCTCAAGCGATATCCTCTCACCTCAGCCTCCTGAGTAGCAGGGACTTATAGTCCTGCACATGCCAACACACCTGGCTATTTTTTTTTTAATCTTTTATTTATTTATTTATTTTGGTAGAAACAGGATCCCACTATAAGTTGCTCAGGCTGTTTTCTACCTCCTGGTCTCCTGGTCTCAAGCAGTCCTTCTGCCTTGGCCTCACAAAATTCTGGGATTACAGGCATGAGCCATCACGCCTGGCCTGTCTTACTTTCTATTTCTGCATTTTGGGAACTAGAACCTAGGTCACTTTTCTCTGTTTTTTGTTTTGTTTTTTTTAACAACCGAACTTCTACCCTTCTATGATCCAAAAAATCATTTTATGAGATTCTTAAAATGATTTATTCTCTTAACATCCCAATAATGTTAAGCATGAAAATTAACATGCATTTCTTGGTAGACACTTAAGTGCCTGCATGCATTATTATTTTAATTCTAACAGCACTCCTATGAGATGAATTATTCTCTCTCTCTTTTACAATGGGAAACTGAGGCTTTGATGGATGGATATCATATAATTTGTCCACAGTTACTTAGCTGTTAACCGATGACAAAGCAAGACAGATCCAAATGCAGGCTATTTGACTTCTTGTATATATTTTACATTTATTTTCCTAATTCCGTTTTAAAACTCTCCATATTTTAAACTGCTAGCACCCTGGTGATAACATTTTAGCCTGGTGTATGATTACTTGAACTACCATTAGGAAACTGATTTAGTTCAATTGATGATCATTTGGAGACAGTATAATTTGTAATTATACTTTTTACAATCTCTTTCTCCTTTTAAAATGACTCTTTCATTATTTTTAAAGTGCACAGTAATATATGTTATAATATCTAGTCGAATAGCTTTCACTGTGCCCTTATTCCCTCTCCCTGAGGTAAGATTAACACTTTAGTGTGATTTCTTCAGTCGCTTCATCTTTATACAAACATATATATAAACAATATGACTCTGGCCTTTTTCTTAAATTTTTACCAAAATGAAATCACACTATAATAAATAATTGCTTTCTTCAACAGTATGTCATAGACCCTTTTTTCTGGGCTAATTCATATGACTCAAATTCATTATAGTTCCATCATAATAATAGTACACTTTTTTACATTTTTCATTTAATAGACCTTGAGATCGTGACCAGTTTTTTGCTCTTACAAATAGTACTTTAATAAACATCCTTGACTATATGTACTTCCATGTTTTTAATTCTCCAGAATAAACTCCTAAAAGTGAGGTTCATGTATCTAAGGGTACGCACATCTTTTAATAGATGCTGCCAGATTATTTACCAAAGGTCATAAGAATTTATATCCAAATAGCAGCACAGAAGAATGTACTTTCTTCACATCTTCATGGTATGGGAAGTTAACACTATAATTTTTAACAATTCCGCAGGTAAAAGGCGTTTTCTAACTTAATTTTCCTGACTACTTGGAAACTTGAAAATCTTATTGTATTTTCATGAATGTTTTTAATTCCTTCTTCCTCAGATTGTCTGCCCTTTACCCTTTATCTGCTTTTCTGTTGAAATATATTTTTGTCAGTTTGTGGGCAGCCATGTGTGTTTTACACAGTTTCTTATTTGACTACTTTTATGGTTTCTGCCATTGTTTCCATCTCATGTTGTAATGGCCAATATTAGTTACTACATTAGATGTATTGAAATTGTACATTCAAGTCCTCTTGACTTGGATTTTTAATACTATTTATTAGCAATATTGAGGATAAGGGACTGACTAGTCATGCATATGTTTGTGTGTGATGCCCTATAATATAAATTATAAAAATGTAATATATTTTCATATATAGTAGAATCTAAGCTAAAGTATTTATAAAATATAGATTTTTAAAGTCTTAAATTCTTTTTAGAAAACATTTTGTAACCTTATTGCTATGACTACTACTTTTGCTTTCCTGTTAGAGTAAAATCCTATTTTGTGATGTTCATTGGGTCCTTCTATTAAATTGCATAGTTTAATATTTTTTTCATCTCCCCTTTTATTTCTTCTACACTGTATTTTTTCAACATAATAAAAATTTTCATACATGGTACAGTTAAAACAATTGTACTTTGAATAATCAAATACCTACCACCTAGATTCTCCAATAAATACTTTACTCTGTTTGCTTTGTCACTTGTGTATTTATTTCTATATGCCTTTTTTTTTTTTTTTTTTTTTTTTTTGGAGATGGAGTCTCACTCTGTCCCCTAGGCCAGAGTGCAATGACACCATCTTGGCTCCCTGCAACCTCCACCTCCTAAGTTCAAGTGATTCTCCTGCCTCAGCTTCCCAATAGTTAGGATTGCAGGTGCTTGCCACCATACCCAGCTAATTTTTGTATTTTTAGCAGAGATGGGATTTCACCATGTTGGCCAGGCTGGTCTCGAACTCCTGACCTCAGGTGATCCTTCCAACTTGGCCTCCCAAAGTCCTGAGATTACAGATGTGAGCCACCGCACCTGGCCTGTATGCCTCTTTTCATTCATTAATTTATATTTTTTACACATTTCAAGGTAAGTTGCAGACATAAGTACACTTTCCAAACACCTTAATATGAACATAATTAGCTAGAATTTTGTAGTTATTTAGAGTTCTTTTTTTATTTTTGAGGTAAAATTACTTGCAGTGAAATGGACAACTTAACCATTTCATGTAGCACTCCATGTGTTTTGGCTAATACATAAACATGTAGATTTGCTGTTCTAGAATTTTGAAAAAATTCAATCATATGTACTCTTTATGTACATACTAAAGTTTTTGAGATTTATTCACATTGTTGCATGTATCACTAGTTTGTTTCATTTTTAATACCTAGCCACAGGATATGAGGTAGACATTTTTTCTTTAGGAATTTCTAGTTGTGGCATCATTTGTTTCCTTTTTCTGTTAGATGGCTTTAGTATCTTTATCAAAAATCAAGGGAGTATAAATGTGGGCTTATGTCTAGGCTTTCCATTCAATACTTACTAGTATAGTGTGAAGTATGCATTTTTCCCCATACTAAATTTCGAGTTTTTGCAGCACCATTTGCATTCTCCTTGAATTGCAGTGTTGCTTTAGTCAAAAATCAAGACAGTGAAAATGTGGGCTTGTTCCCAGGCTCTCTGTTTAATTTAATTCAGTTGATTTATTTGTCAATCCTCATGCTAGTGCCATGTTGTCTTAAATTACTGTAACTTTGTAGTAAGTCTCGGAGTCATGTACGTTGTCCTCCAATTTTGTTCTTCTTTTATAAAATGTTATTTAATATTCTAGATTTTCTGCACTTCCACATAAGTGATAGAATCTGTTTTTGAATTTCCACAATAAAGCCTCTGCTATTTGTTTGTTTGTTTGTTGTTGTTTTGAGGTAGAGTCTTGCTCTTTTGCCCAGGCTGGAGTCCAGTGGCACAATCTCAGCTCATTGCAGCCTCTGCCTCCTGGGTTCAGGCGATTCTCGTGCCTCAGCTTCCTGAGTGGCTGAGATTAGAAGCTTGTGCACCACACCTGGCTAATTTTTGCATTTATAGTAGAGAAGATGTTTCACCAGGTTGGCCAGCCTGGTCTCGAACTCCTGACCACAAGTGATCCACCCACTCTAGCCTTCTAAAGTGGTAGGATTACAGACATGAGCCACTATGCCCGCCCTAGCCTCTATTTTTGAAGGATTATGCTGAATCTACAGATTAATTTGGAGAGAATTGATAACAATATTGAGTCTTCTAAATCGTGAATGTGGCATATCTCACCATTTATTTATATTTTTTTCAATTCGTCTCAGCAATGTTGCATAGTTTTCAGTTCTACATTGAAATTGTAATGGACTTAATTCTTTTGCCTTTTCCTTTTTATAGGCTCTGGATCAGTATCATTATACGAGGTGGAAAGATGTCAACAGCTATCTGCTACAAGTAAGATTGTGCATCCTTTTTGAGATACGGGCACAGTAATGAGCATAATAAAGTCTGCTTCTGTATTTCCCAACTAATCCATTTCTTTCTAATAGTAGAACACATATCCTTGAAAGCTAAAGCATGTCCATATTTAACTTTCTTCTTCTACATTGTCCATAAAACAGATATATGTTTTAAACATTAAATACGTGATGTATTTTAAGTCATGTATCTCTGTTAGAGTTGCATGACTTAAGCTATTAGGTGAAGAGTTATCCTGTCACACTATGCATTTAGCAGTGTACCATAAAGAAGCTCCTTACAATATGCCTCAAAATTTTAATTTAATTTTAGTAATGATAGTGTGTCTATCAAATACTCTCCTTCTGTAACATCAGCTAAGATTTTAAAAAATTTTTCAGAAAAATATTTTAAACACAAATATATTAAATGTGCTATTGTAAAAAATTTAATTTCTCACATTGCAGAAAGAAGTACAAATATGAATGTGAGAAGGCTTGATAAAAGCTTGTAATGCTGTATTGTAATTGGAGGTGCCATTATGTACTCATGATTTTATAGATAAATACAGAAATAGATGTAGCTATGTGTATGTATGATACACATATATTCACACACATACACATTCCTTTGTATTGTAGGGGTGTGTGTACCTGCATATCTGTGTGAATATGTATTCATATATACCCTCTCTCTCTCTCTCCATGAAAGGGCATAGACGCAGCAGCACTCTAGTTGCACTAAGCGCACCTAGTGCACAGATCTTGGGTTATAAATAATATCTCTCTCTCAAAGGAATCAGGGCTTCTTCATGAAACAGCAGATTTCAGAACTAGAACAGGGGAATTACAAGATTAGTATGGAGTAACTTTGTAGTACTAGAAAGTAAGGAGGTTCTCAGTTAATGAAACTTGTCAAATGGCTTATGATAGAATATATCTAACCTGGGAACATCTGAGCATCAAAATAAATAATGTTAGTACTAATTGAATAAGGTAGGAATGCATGAGCCCATGTTGATGATAATTAACAAAAGATAAAGAAAATATATGGAGTTAAGTGAAAATATCTTTCTTAAAGTAGAATAACAAATATAAAAGGGATAATGAACTTAGAAAAAAAATCTCCATTTTGTACCCATTATAGTAATTGTTGAGATAGTTGTGAATCTGTGGATTCTAAACTATCAGGATATTTGAAGAAAAATGAGATATTTATATTTTCTCTAGTATATTTTTGTTAAATACAAGGGGGAAACAGTAAGTTTTTAGTAGAGAAGTGATTGGACACTGCCTTTACCAGCTAAGTAAAGTTAGGCTCACATTAATAGTAACATTCACTTTGTATGCCTCTCAATGTGATACACTGAGAAGCACACAGTACCACTTGTCCATTATTCCTGCCAAAAATGCATAAGCTAAATCTGAGCCTGAGGAAGAACCAGACACACCCAAATTGGTGTTTATTCTACAGAATAAATGGACTGTACTCTTCAAATATATCAGTGTCATGAAAGACAAAGAAAAGCTAAGGATCTGTTTTACATTAAAGAAGTCTAAAGAGACATGAGAATTAAGTGTAATACATGGTCCAGGATTGGATCTTACACTTGAAAGTAAAATGAATGCTAAGAAGAACATTTTGAGGACAATTGGAGAAATTTGAGTAATGTTTATTAATTTGATTATAGTTATAAATCAGTTAAATATTCTAATGTTGAAAACTGCCCTGTAATTATGTCAATAAAATGTCTTCTTGTGAAATACATACTGGAGAATTTAAAGGAAAGGAGGCATAATGTTTGGTAGTTAGATGATTCAATAATGTTTTTGTGGTGAGAGACAGAGATAAAAACAGACCCAAAGACAATGATAAATGTGCAAAAATGTTAACAATTGGTAGATCTTGGTGAAGATTTTACAGAAGGTCTTTGTATTGTTAATGCAATTTTCCTTAAGTTTGAAAGCATTTTAAAATGAATATTTAAAAATTTCCGGTTAAAATATGAGTTTGAAGCAATTGTTGTTATCACTGTATAGCAATTTACACTAAATTGATCAGGTCTGCCAATGGTTTTTTAAAAACAATCGCCACCGCAATAAAATGTTCCACTGTAAACTCTTGGCCATTTGCTCCTTGAAGGAAAACTAATTCTGCAAGAATTTCATTGGCTTAAAGCTCGGTACTGAAAGGAATTGTTTTCACCAATGAAGTTAATAAGATTTGTATATCATTTCTATTTTCTAAAACACACAAAACTGTTAAGCTAGAATGTATAGCAAGCTGTTGCCTTAAGCTAAGAGTCACCAGCAATTTTATACTTTCCCCAGTAAAAACTGATCACTACAATCCCAGACCTTCTTTCCACAAGTAGCTGAGGAGACCTTTTGTACCTGTTTCCCAGGCAATTGCTCCCAGTGCTTTTGTCTAGCTTTTTTTTCCCCAGTTTGACGCAACTTCCTCTTCCTTTTCCTCTTCCTTCTCCTGCACTCCCTCCTTCCAGCTTCCCAGACTTCTTCTCCACTACTACACCACTCCCATGACGGATCACCCTTAATGTCCCTTCCTGTTCTTAACAATCTGATTTTATAAATGATGGTTCAATAAAAAGTAACTAATTTGAAACATCAAAGAGCCTGCATATAATATTGGGCCAATGTGTTTTCTTATAGACACTAATTAGAACTTCAGTGTCTAATTGTGTCAGACACCAGTTAGAACTTAAACTGTTGCCTAGTATATTATTTTCTTAGCTAATAAACCTTGCTTTTTTTTTTCTGTTAGCCAGATTTCCATTAGTCCCATATAAAAATGCTTTTTTGAACACTTACTAAGCAATTATTTCTTCCCCAGATAATCCAGCATTTATTAGTATACATTTGTTGAGCACTTACTATGTGCCTGGCACTGTGATAGTGGACCTTGAGTGTACATCCGGGAATAAAGACATAACCCTTGCTTTCATGGAGTTGACAATAGAGCTTAATTAGATTTTATAGTACATATTTGGTTCAGGATGATGCATGTTATAAATATTCTTATTATGATTTAATATAAAAATTCTTTACAGTACTTACAGATCATCAGTATTTGGAGAGGACACCACTATGTGCCATTTTGAAACAGAAAGCTCCTCAACAGTATCGCATCCGAGCAAAATTGAGGTCATATAAGCCCAGAAGACTATTTCAGTCTGTTAAACTTCATTGCCCTAAATGTCATTTACTGTGAGTATTTTCCATAATAAAACAGAAGTGTTCATATTATTTGTGTATATGTGTGCACATATGTATAATTTTGTGTCTTAGGAATAAGTAAATTGTGAATATATGTATTATATTTTCAAAGAATGGTAATGTTTTTAGGTAAAATACTAAATTCTTAGAGAATAAATTCTTTGATAGTAATAAAAGTGGGTGCTATTTTTAGATCTAAATTCAGCTTAGTCATTCTGATAAAAGCAAATGAGAAATAATAAATGAATGTATTTGGGCAGGCTCATTTGTTGCAAAAGTATCTTCCTAAATATAAACGTTTATTAACTGAAATTTTTGAAAAGGTTTGTAATTACATGAAATTTCTAATTAAGTGATATAAATATATAATAAATGTATATAATGGTTTTGTAATCCTTTTGCTAGAAAATCAACTCAAGACATATTCTGAAAATCATTTTGAAAAGCTTATCTTTTTGTTGCAATTTACCTACCTTTCCTCTGAATATCGAAAATGCTGTTTTGGAAAATGTAGATAATTGATATATTATTTGAATGCCATAAATTGAGTTTTCACTAAAATGTGCTACAATGTATAAGTATATATGTACATAGCCATATATTTGTATGCTTATAAATTGTGACTATCTGTGTTCATTAATATACATATATTTTCCCCTCCAAAATTTGGGTATAATACTGTTTGAGGAGATTTTTTTATTATAAAATCTTAAATAAAAAGTGAAGGAACCATCTTTACCCATTTGAGCTTTGGGATTAAAATATATATATAAGGATTTTAGATAATTCTTCAAGTATTGTCAAATTTTGGCTCATTGAGTATCATAAAATATAGCTTTGTAAAATAAAACCATTCTGTGTGATCATTTTTTAAACAAATAAGGACATTATCTCAGAAATTAACAGAAACTATCTAAAGTTACACAGTTGGCAACAGAACCAGAATAAAGCCATAAACCTTTTGTTTCCAAATTCTGTCATTTCTACTACATAATACTTAACCATGTGACTTCTTAAAATTATTAATTATAAACAGAATTGAAAATAGTGTTAGGTTAGAATTACTCTTTTCCCTAAGTGTGGTCAGTGGATATTTAACTGGAGTGAAGACAGGGGGCCACTGCATTTTTTTTCTCCTACTGGGAAATTTAGCATTCCTTACAGAGGAGAAAAAAACAGTGCTAGGAATAATTATAAGTAATTTTGTATCACAAAACCAGGCATGAAAATTGCTAGCAGTTAATGTAATTATGATTTGGATATGCTTACACACAAAATATCAAATATTTATCTATTGAATAAAAGTTATTTATTCTGCAAAGTGAATTAGCTCCATAATTTACATAATTTAAGAAAAAGTAACTGATTCATCTGCATGTAAGAATGATACTTTTTAATTAAGTAACATGTTAAAATTGAAGTTTTCAAGCTCATACCAAAATTGATTTCTGTCATTTCATTGTCAATGATTTTAGGCAAGAAGTTCCACATGAGGGCGAGTTGGATATAATTTTGCAAGATGGTGCAACTAAAACTCCAGATGTCAAGTTACAAAATACATCATTATATGATTCGAAAATCTGGACCACTAAAGATCAAAAAGGACGAAAAGTAGCAGTTCATTTTGTGAAAAATAATGGTATTCTCCCACTTTCAAATGAATGTCTACTTTTGATAGAAGGTAAGATACTTAAGTCACTGTTCTGTTAGAATACTGCTTTTGCATAATTTTCCTAATTAATTATTGTTTAATATACTTTATAGGCTACCTAGTATGTATAAAGTAAAAATAATATTTAAATTTTACAAAATTGAATATATATGTTAACTAGATTCAAATATATATACACACGCACATACATTTATCTTAATTACCTTTGAAATTGTACATTAGATTCAAGTGTTTACATTTAACTATATTGTTTGTTTGCATTCAATTTTGTCATGGCTGAGCTGATTATCTAGTTAAGTAATGATAAAGAGGCTGATTGGTTATGTACTGTTGCTGTTTTCTTGGCCTCTGGATGTCACTATTGTTTCATAAAAATAGGGTGAAAATCATCTACTGTATCTAAATCAAGAAAGAGACCATGGAAGCAAGATAACTTGATAAGCTATAAATGAAATTTGTCATGTTTGTTTTTTCATTTTCTTTTCATTTTCATCTAATTTTTATCTAATATTTTTCTAAAATATGTACTGTAAATTTTTTCTCATGGCAAATTTAAAGTTTCTTTATTTTCCTTAAGGAAAATTTTGTTTTGTTGTATTTTCTTTCGTTGTAACCTTTTGTAATAAAGGAAAAATACCTTCTTTAATTTGCATTAGAGTAATATATAGTTTTATTTTTAATAAATGAGGGAATCCTATGTAAATTATAGCTTTGGGTGATTATATGTCAGTATAGGTTCATTTTTAACAAATGTACCACTTGACAAAGGGCTGATATCCAGAATTTACAAAGAACTAAAACAGATTTACAAGGAAAAAACAAGCCCATTCAAAAGTGGGCATAGGATATGAACAGATACTTTACAAAAGAAGACATACATGAGGCCAACAAACATATGAAAAAATGCTCATCACCACTGGTCATCAGAGAAATACAAATCAAAACTACATTGAGATACCATCTCACGCCAGTTAGAATGGCGATCATTAAAAAATCTAGAGACAACAGATGCTGGAGAGGATGTGGAGAAATAGGAACACTTTTACACTGTTGGTGGGAGTATAATTAGTTCAACCATTGTGGAAGACAGTGTGGCGATTCCTCAAGGACCTAGAAATAGAAATTCCATTTGACCCAGCAATCCCGTTACTGAGTATATATCCAAAGGATTATAAATCGTTCTACTGTAAAGACACGTGCACATGAATGTTCATTGCAGCACTGTTTACAATAGCAAAGACCTGGAACCAACCCAAATGCCAACTGATGATAGACTAGACAGGGAAAATGTGGCACATATACACCATGGAATATTATGCAGTCATCAAAAACGATGAGTTTGTGTCCTTTGTAGGGACATGGATGAACCTGGAAACCATCATTCTCAGCAAACTGACAGAAGAGCAGAAGATCAAACACCACATGTTCTCACTCATAGGCGGGTGTTGAACAATGAGAACATATGGACACAGGGAAGGGAGCACTACACACTGGGGCCTGTTGGGGGGAAATAGGGGTGGGACAGTGGGGGGTAGGGAGTTGGGGAGTGATAGCATGGGGAGAAATGCCAAATATGGGTGATGGGGAGGAAGGCAGCAAATCACGCTGCCACGTGTGTACCTATGCAACAATCTTTCATGTCCTTCACATGTACCCCAAAACCTAAAATGCAATAAAATAAACAAACAAACAAACAAAACAAATGTACTGCTATGGTGGAGGATGTTGATACTGGAGGAGGCTAGCATGTGTGGTAGCAGGAGATATGGAAAATCTCTATACCTTCCTCTTAATTTTGCTGTGAACCTAAAACTGCTCCTTAAAAAGAAGAAAAAAAAATGAAATCTTAAGAACGAAACATATAGCCTGCAACACCAAGAGTGAATGCTAATATAAACTGTGGACTTTGATAATGGTTTGTTAAAATAGGTTTCTCAATTGACAATTTACCACTCTGGTGCAAGATGTTGAGAATGGGGAAGTAAGGGGATAGTTGAATGATAATAAAGTGGGTAAATGACGTAAGGAAACTGTACCTTTTGCTTAATTTTGCTGTGAACCTTAAACTGCTTTTTAAAAAATGCCTTATTTGAAAAAAAGACAAAAAATTAGAATGTATGTAAAAGCACTTTGAAATGTAAAAGGAATATAAGAATGTGAGCTCTTTTTGTTTTTATGTTTTTAAGTATTATAGCCTGAGCCAAGGGCTAGGATCTTACTGCAGTATAACACTGTTCTTGTTAGGAAATAACAAAATCAAAAACTGACCTGGACTTAGAGATGAACCAAAGTAAACTATATAAACCAAAGTAAACCAAAGTCATTCTTAGACTTTAAGGACCTGCAGCAGCACTCACTGATATTCATGTCAAGTTAATGCAGTTGACACTATTTTATTGTGACCATAGTTTGCATTAGGGTTCACTCGTTGTGTTGTACAGTTATTTATGCTTTGACAAGTGCAGAATACCATGTACCCACCATCAGAGTCTCATAGAAAACAGTTTCACTGCCCTGTAAATCCTCTGTGCTCTATCTATTCATCCTTCTACCCCTTCTCCAAACCTCTGGCAACCACTGATCTTTTTACTATCTTTATAGTTTTGCCTTTTCCAGAATGTTTAGCTTTTCTTCTTTGTTATCTTCTAGAAGTTTTCCAGTTTTGCATTTTATGTTTAGATCTGTAATGCATTTTCAGTTAATTTTTGTAAAAGGTGTAAGATCTGTGTCCAGATTTCTTTCTCATGCAGATGTCCAGTTTTCCAGTACCATTTGTTAAAAAGTAACAAATGGTTACTTTTTAACTCCATTGAATTACCTTTACTTCTTTGTCAAACCAGTTTATTCATGTGAATTTGTTTCTTTGTTCTCTATTCTGTTTTAATCTATTTATATGTTATTTTGCCAATATCACACCATCTTTATTTCTAAAGCTATATAGTAATTCTTGAAATTATGTAGTGTTGGTCCTCCAACTTTCTTCTTTTTCTTCAGTATTGTGTTGGCTATTGTGAAACTTTTGCATTTCCACGTAAACTTTATAATCAGCTTGTCAATATCCAAAAATAACTTGCTGGGATTCTTATTAAGATTGCCATAAATCTGTAAGTCAGAGTGGAGAGGGAGAACTAACATCTTGATGTTATTGACAGTGAACATGGACTATCTCTCTATGTAGATCTTCTTGGATCTCTCTAGGATTTTATAGCTTTCCTCATATAAATAAATCCAACAAAATATAGATCACATTTTTTTAGCTTTATACCTAAGTAGTTTCTTTTTTGGTGATGATTATTTTATGTTAAATTCAAACTCTAATTGTTTGTTGCTTATATATAGGCAAGCAATTGATTTTTTTTATTAACTTTGTATCCTGTACCATTGCTGTAATTGCTTATTATTTCATAATTTTTTGTTGTGATTTCCTCTAAACAAAGGCAGCTTATTTCTTCCTTCCTAATATGTATACCTTTTATTTCCTTTTCTTCTCTTACTGCATTAGGTAGGGCTTCCAGTACAATGTTGAATAGAAGCAATGAGAGGGAATGTTCTTGCTTTGATCTCAATCTTAGGTGGAAAGTATCACCATTAAATGTAATTTTAGCTGTCACTATTTTATGATGTTCTTTATCAAGTTGAAGAATTTTCCCAATATTCTTAGTTTGCTGAGAATTTTTATTATTAATGATGTTGAATTTTATCAAATGCCTTTTCTATTACATCTATTAATGTGATTATACAATTTTTCTTCTTTAGCCTATTAATGTGATAAATGATATTAATTGATTTTGGGGTGTTTAACCTGCCTTGCATACCTAAACCTCATTTAGTCATGATGAATAATTATTTTCTTTTTTGATTTAATATTTAAATATTATTTGAGTATTTTTGTATGTGTGTTTATAAGAGAAATTGATCTGTAAGTTTTCATTCTTGTAGTGTATTTGGTTATATATTATAATATTACTGGCCTCATAAGAGTTAGGAAACGTTCCCTCTACTTCCATTTCCTGGAATACATAGTAGAGAATTGCTATCATTTCAGTGTTTGGGTAGACTTCTCTATTGAAACGATCTGAGCGTGGTGATTTTTTTCAAGATTATTATTATTGTTTTAATTTCTCTATAGATATAGTCCTATTCAGATTATCCGTTTCTCCTTGTGTAAGTTTTGATAGGTTATGTCTTTCAAGAAATGGATTCATCTAAGGTGTCAAACTTGTGGGTATAGAATTGTTTATAATATTTATTATTAACACTGTATTTTAAACTACATGATATTTAACTTCCTCTGAAACATAATTGGTATGGAACTATAATGTAACTGAATCATTTTATCATAGTATTTGTTGTTAATACCTATAATTTACTAAATAGACTATGTGTCAGGCACTTTACTACCTAGTTTACTATTTTATCTTTAACTCTCATAACAGATCCTCTGTAAGCTAGATATATCCCCTTTTTAAACAGATGAGGAAACAGACCAAGAGAAAATGGTGAAGAACTCAAAGTTAAAGACCTAGTAAAAGTCAGAAAAAAAATTTAAACTTAGGCCTTTCTGTCTCCATAGTCCATGTTAAAATAGGTCTACTGATTGCAAATAAATTGTTCTCTCTTAAGACGGCTCCAGATACAAACCTTTAGAAACCTAGTATTCACATAGATGAATGTCTTTTTTTGTACTCATTCATTTGTTCAAAACATGTTTATTGAATGCCTACTGTGTGCCAGACACTGATTTAGGCATTAGTGGTAATGTAGCAAACACAACAAAAGTGTTTCCTTTCATGGACTTTTTATTAAGAGGAAATCATAAAAATATTGATACCAGTAGCCACTCATGGCTTTATGTGCTTTACAATTACTAACTCATTTAATCTTTATAATGATCTTACAGAGTAACATTATTCTCAGTTTTACAAATGGGGAAACTGATATACCAGAGTTTAAGTAACTTGACCAAGGTTGTCCAGCTTATGTGCCAGAGCCACACTGGTGTGGTCAGTGTGAATGACTAGATGAAATCTCACCGGTTTCTTTGAAATAGCATTTCTGGAGAGGGACTCATAGAGAAAAGAGTTAGTGAATGGTCGGTCACCTATTGCAGTTTTGAACAGTAGGCAGGAGCCTCTTTAGCAAGACTAGGTATCCATCTCCGGAAGATAGACTAGCTTTTGTGCTGTGAAGCATTTAAGTAGCATGCTTTGGGAATATTGTTTTGAGGTTTTAATCTGGCATAATGAGGGTTTCTATCTGACTGCAGTATGATATAGCAGAACTGTGGCTTCCAATAACAATGGCCTTGGGGGAAAGAGTATGGGAACAGGGCAAGTTAAAATGCCACAGAGCTTACTGCTCTTACAAAAATTCAGCCATTTTCCTGGAACACTCCTTCAACAGGCCTTGGATCATTGAAGGCCTCTGGTAATTTCCAGAGTTCTAAAAAAGGTTTTACAGTTTTTGCCAGTACTCTTATTGCTGTTTTAGACAAGTGTGTCTTTGGATGTCCTCACTCTGCTATGCCAGAAGTGCTTCTCCCTTATAATTGAATGTTGACATTACAAATTCTACCCAAATTTTAGGAAACACAGAGGTATTTTTTAAATCCTATTCTTTTGCCTGGAGAGAGGAAACATTGTTGACTAAGTAAAAAGGACACTGCCTTCTAATAATGGCATGCCATTGGGCAATACTTCTCAGCCAGTGTGGTCATTTGAATGCTTACTCTGCCATAGGATTAAGTGTGATAATTTTCCCAGGAAAAATGAACAAATTTTATATGTGAATTCATATAACATGAACTACTCATATCTATATTTAAATGAAATATTGACCTGAAAATTGAGATTTATTTTAAACTCAAAACTAAATTTGTCCAGATATTAATTAGTATATAGAAAGTTTATTAGAATCTGATTATACCTTGGCTCTTAACTTATATTCCCTTCTGGTTATTTGAACCAAAAGTATTCCTGGCATAAAGAGTAATTTGTTTAAATTTAGAAAGATGGTTAAAATTTCACACGCTTTCTGTTTTACCTAAGTCTCAGCATTTTTATCCATTGATTATTTTCAATGTACAGGATTGTAAGTTTACAAATTAATATTTTTCACATACATTCATTGTCTTTTTTCTGTCAATTCTTTAGTCTTTTATTATACCTCACATGTTATTTAATAGGACTGTGCTTTTTCTACATTTCATTTGCACTACCGGAAGGGTTTATTCTCTTAACAGGAGGTACACTCAGTGAAATTTGCAAACTCTCAAACAAGTTTAATAGTGTAATTCCTGTGAGATCTGGCTACGAAGACTTGGAACTCTTGGACCTTTCAGCACCATTTTTTATACAAGGAACAGTACATCACTATGGGTATGTTTTCAACTCAGAAAATTTTTGGAATTAAAAACTGTTTAAGAGTAAATTTTATTAGTTTATTTCATTGGTTACTATATGTTCAACAGAAACTTTTAGTGTATCAACTTAGATGTACTAGCTTTTTCTGACGTATATCTGTTCTTTTGATAAGCATATAGAGAGAGTACACACAATGTGTGAGGCATAGAGCTGCCTTCTTTTTATTCCACAGTCAGAGGCTGGTACTCACTTGTTTTCTTTCACAGTGAGGATTTATATACCAGTTACAGAGAAAAAAATCAGAGCTGCAAACCTAGTGAAAATTAAGTGACTGAATTTCAGAATCTCTGAGCCACTAAATTACAAATTTGCTGCCACTGAAAATTGGAATATAAAAGAATACATTAGAAGCTGAAAAACAGATTTCTAAATTTAGAAGGAGGGGATAGGGATAAAATCTCCTCTATTGCTTGATGAAACAATCACCCTGGGCATGTTCGGATTTGAGAAACCTTGGATTATAATGTATGTTTTGTCATACTATTCCTCTTTTCCAACTTCTAAATTTGTGGCAATTATTAGTCATTGTCATAATTTGTAAATCCTGATTAAAAAATTATATACTCGTTGAAAAATATTATACTGTAACCATGATACCTTCTTAATTGTATAGTAAAGTCATTGTTAGGCATTGTTTGTGTTCTGTCAACAAATCCTAGAATTCTAGCCATAAAGTGAAACTGTGTGCCACTGACTTAAATCCCTGGGTTATAGCTGTTTTTACTGTTATATGCTCAGTGTCTAGTGATCTCTCTCATTAAACTCGTGATCTGAGAGTCAGTTTTTTTGAAAATAAAATTTTTAATTAAAATAATTAAAAAATAAAAACTCATAAAATTCTATTTTTCTTGTATAGTAAGTCACTAATTGAGCTTTTTCTTTCTGCATGCTCATCCTCGATCACTTGCTCTTGCTCTTTCTCCCTTCTCCCTATTTTGCCTTCCCAGTATTGGGCACCATGACAAGTCTAAACCAGGAAAGGAAATACTCATTTTAAACTCTGTAATATAACTTCTTCATTTACTAGAAGTCTCAATAAAATTACCTTAAGGCTCTCGACTTTTTTTTTCTTTGTGATGGAATATTGCTCTATTGCTCAGGCCGGAGTACAGTGGCATGATTGTGGCTCACTGCAGCCTCTGCCACCCGGGTTCAAGCAATTCTCCTATCTCAGCCCCTCAAGTAGCTGGGACTATAGGCACACACCAAATGCCCAGCTGATTTTTTTTTTTTTTGCATTTTCAGTAGAGACATGGTTTCATCATGTTGGCCTAGCTGGTCTCGACCTCCTGACCTCAAGTGATCCACTTTGGCCGCCTTGGCCTCCCAAAGTGCTGCAATTATAGGCGTGAACTACCATGCCTGGCCAAAGCTCTGGACTTGTTTTTTACTAGTTGCTTCAAAACTAAAACAAATGCTGTTCACACTCCATATTTTAAGACACTTTTACATTTTTTTATTACTTGAGCTTCATCATCAAAAGCCAGTATATCTTTTAATTGATTCTTCTTTTTATTTTTAGGTTATAAAATAATTTTAACTTACAGAAAAATATGAAAAGTAACATCACAACAATTACATAACCACCATTTAGATTTAACAAATGTTAACATTTTATCATTATTCCAGATCTCCTCCTCACCGCTTTTTTTTTTTTTTTTTTTTNTTTTTTGGAGTCGGTCTCACTCTGACACCCAGGCTGCAGTGGCATGATTTCAGCTCACTGTAGCCTTGATCTCCTGGGCTCAAGCAGTCCTCCCACCTCAGCCTCCCAACTAGCTGGGACTACAGGTGCACACCACCACCACACCTGTCTAATTTTTGTATTTTTTGTAAAGATGTGGTTTTGCCATGTTGCCCAGGCTGTCTTGAACTCCGGAGTTCAAGCAATCCGCCTGCCTCAGCCTCCAGACTTTAAGAAATTAAATGTTTCAGAGAAGTAAGGTAACTCCATACCAATCCCTTCTCTAACGCTTTTTTCTCAGAGACAGCTACTTTTCCCAACTTGGATTAAATCCTTCTCATCAATGTTTTTATGCCTTCGTTATAATATATGTGTGAACTCTTAAGCAGTATAGCATGTTTTTTGTTTTGTAAATTTATATAAACTGTTTCGTATTATGCCAACCCTTTTGCAGCTTGCTTTTTTACATTCATTATTATTATATTCAAGATTTACCCATATTGATGCATGTACATTTAGGTTATTTATTTTAATGTCTGTGGAGTATTTTATGAAATATCAGAATTTTTTGGCTATTTACCAGTTAATGGTGGATATGTGTTATTTTTTGTTTCATTTATAAAATGTGACTGAATGAAGTCACATTTTATGTTTCTTGTGTATTTCCCTTCTCATAAAATGAGTTGAGTGGGTCATGACCAAGTTTTTTTTTTGATCATATGATGTGGTTGTAGTAAGAAATAGAATGAGAGGGAATGGATAATAGAGAACATTTTACATAGTAAGGGTCAGTGTTGTTCCATAACACTTTCATTTCAGTTGTGTGTGTATGTTTGTATTACTAAGATATGTTATTAAATGAATTTCTTACTGTGAGCCCTTAACAAAAATGTTTGAAAGTTACTACTAAGGTGTTTACCTGGAATTAGAATTACTGGATTATAAGGTATACATAAGTTTTGCTTTAGGAGAAAAATACCCAATTGTTCTTCCCATGGTTCTAACAATTTATGGTCCCATCAGTAATGTATAAAAATTTTAGTTTCCACCAAGTTCACTCCAACACTTAGTGTTAATCTATTTCTGTCTTATACTTGGTATTAGTCTAACTTGTGCTTTTGTTAGGCCAGTGAGCATCAGATGCTATCAGTGATGTTTTTGTTTGTATTTCCTAGATGTCTAGTGTGTTTAAGCAGCCCCATGTTTATTAGCTACATAGGTTTCTTACTGTGTGAATTCCATGTTCACATCTTTTTCCTCTTTTTCTGTGAGGTCAGTGATTTCTTTCTTGGTTTGTTTTTGAGCAAGCATACATGTAATTGGTTGTAAGGTTTCTTTAGAGATACTAATCTCTTGTTAGATTCATCCATACTTCTAGTATGGATGCCTTTTTAACTTTATAAGGTTTCTTGTGTTTTATAAGCTTTTTAAAAATTTTTGTTAGGTAATTGCTTTATAGCTTATTCTCATCCATTTGCTTTCAAGTTTCTGGCATTCTATTTCATATGTCACTCATAAATAGAAGTTTATGGCTGAATTTTAGTTTTAATAGTTGAGTTTAAAATGTATTCTTAAATTATTGATATATTTAGTTTATGTTCCTGATTTTTTCTGTTTCCCCTTTTAGTGCTTTTGGAAGTAAGTAATTCTCTATTTAATTTTGACTTACTATCCTTAATTTTTAATTTTTATACTATACTTGCTTTATTAATTTCTAATGCTAATTAATATCATAGTCTTTTTCTTAGGCAATAATATTTTTTCCTTAAATTGACATCTTTTATTAGAAAAGACGATAAGATGTAATCTGGTAACCCTCTTGTTTTCCCAAAATGCAAATGAAAACAAATGTGTATGGACCTTTTCAACTTTTATTTTTATTCAAGTATATCTTTTCAAGTATATTTTCTTATCAACATCTCATAAACATTATGATGATGCATAATAAAAAATATATTACTCATGTTAGTATCAAGTAAAGCAAAATCCCTATACTAAATAATGCACGACTTTAGTATATTGTATAGTCTTCAATTTATATACATTTCAAAAGATAGCTATGATATTAGACATCATAAAATACAAACCTCTGGATATATGCTTACTAAAAATATTATCTAGAATCTTGTATGTTCTAACTGCTTTAGTAATTTTTCTCTATTGGCCATATTTATTAAGACTTTGAATTTATTAAGATATTACTTACAGCGGCCAGGCATGTTGACTCACGCCTGTAACTCCAGTACTTTGGAAGGCCAAGGCGGACAGATGGCTTGAGCTCAGGAGTTTGAGACCAGCCTGGGCATTGTGGCAAGACCTTGTCTCTACAAAATTATAAAAATTAGCTAGGCACAACTGTGGTTCCAGCTACTTGGGAGGCTGAAGGGGGAGGCTCACTTGAGCCTGGGAGGCAGAGACTCAAGATTGTGCCACTGTACCACTCCAGCCTGGGTGATAGAGTGAGACCCTGTCTCAAAAAAAAGAGAGAGAAAAAAAAAGAAAGATATTGCTTATAGAATCAAAGAATAGAAATGAGCGTTTTCTTCAACTTTTCATTTTAACAAATAAAGAAATTGAGAGCAAAATTAATTAATGATTTGGACCTGGAACCCAGCACCCTATTCTCAATTTAGAGTTGTTTATTCTGAATCTTCCACTGTCTTTTTATTGCCTTTATGTAATAAACTTACTCTTTCATAATTCTTTTCTGAAACAAGCAAGCACATTACAATATAGGGGATGCAGTACTCTTCTATTTAATAATTTATATTTTAAAACTACACATATTTGAGCTGTAAATAGCTATACAAGCTAAATTATTTTAAAATATTTATATGGTTTTTTCTTTTATAAATTTCAGATGTAAACAATGTTCTAATTTGAGAGCCATACAAAATCTGAATTCCTTGGTTGATAAGACATCGTGGATTCCTTCTTCTGTGGCAGAAGGTTAGCTAAATTTCCATGCCCTGCAATTTTGAATGTTTATATACAAGATTATTTCACCTACTTACATTTCAGCATACCTGAAAATATACCTATTCCTTTGTATACCTATTCCTTCTTCTGTAAACAGACTGCAAATTTAAAGATATCTACCAAGCCTTCCTTTAGTCTGCATTTCTTCAAGCAGGCACCATCACTGTCTTTGTACTTTCCCCCATGCTTTACTATTTTGTTTTTCCTCATCAGGAAGCATTCCACTTAACCAGTGCTCTTCTCAAAATTTGGCATTTAGAGCTGGCCATTGTGCTGCAGATGTGGTTTGGCCGATTCAGAATAAAGTGAAAATTATTATTACCTAAAACTGGACACTCAACTTCTACTGGCCTGAAATGGCATTGTATAGCTATTTATTTGTACACTTGGTTTTGTCTTCTTTCCTTTTTAATACAGCTGTCTCATGTTTTATTTGTGGTCTAGTGAAATCCTAGGTTCCTGTCACATGAACTCCTTGAACTTGGTCTCCTCATTCTATTCTGAATGTAATTTCTTTGTTTTTATGGTTCCTTGGGGTAGGTACTAAGTTTATTTTTCTTGATTTTAGTTCACAGTTTTAACCTATGGAGACCTTTAGAAGCCTAAAAATCAGTTCCCCTGTATTAATGTCTGTTTTATGCCCTAGTTCATGTCTGTATGTCCTAATTTATTCTTACTTGCACTCTTAATTAGTCCTCCTGTTTAAATATGGGTTCCATAGATAGAAGCTAATATATAACATTCTATAAATTGAGTATATTCCATTTTCAAATAAGAAGATATTTATCTTAACCTGTAAATTTTCGTGTTACCAGTATCTGATTTCTTCTTTCTTCCTCATCTTACCAAATTGTTAAATCTCAGATTCTGACATTCTTGACCATTCAACCAGATGATATCTCTTTTTAAAAGTGTAAATTATTCCCCTAGCTTATAATAGAGAGACATGCTAAAATGATGTTTAACTGCATGTTATTTTTTAGAACATTCTGTATTTTATCTTTCATAATACTAACATGCAATGAGTTAAATTTCATGAATCACATTTTGTGGTTTCTATGGAGGTTATCAACTCTTTTTTTTTTTTTTTTTTTTTTTTTTTGAGATGGAGTCTTACTCTGTCGCCCAGACTGGAGTGCAGTGGTGCAATCTCATCTCACTGCAACCTCTACCTCTTGGGTTCACGCGATTCTCATGCGTCAGCTTCCTGAGGAGCTGGAATTACAGATGTGTGCTACCATGCCTAGCTAATTTTTTTTTTCTCTTTTAGCAGAGATGGGGATTCATCATGTTGGGCAGGCTGGTCTTGAACTCCTGACCTCAGGTGCTCTGCCACCTCGACCTCCCAAAATGCTGGGAATACAGGCGTGAGGCTGTCAACTCATTTTAAATATACATTATATTAATATTTAATCAAAACAGGTTGGCCGGCACGGTGGCTCATGCCTGTAATACCAGCACTTTGGGAGCCCGAGGCAGGTGGATTATGTCAGGAGATCTAGACCATCTTGGCCAACATGGTGAAACACCATCCCTACTAAAATACAAAAAAAAAAAAAAAAAAAAAAAAAGCCAGACCTGATGGCATGGCATGCGCCTGTAGTCCCAGCTACTCAGAAGGCTGAGGCAGGGGAATCGCTTGAACCCGGGAGACGGAGGTTGCAGTGAGCCGAGATCACGCCACTGCACTCCAATCTGGCAGCAGAGCAAGACTCCGTCTCAAAAAAAAAAAAAAAAATGCTTATCATAAGACATTCTCCCTATGTGGATATAGTGAAATATTCCAAAATAAACCTGCTAAATGAGCTTAATTACAGGTTGAGTGTCTGTGGAGTTAAAAAACACAAACTGTCCTCTGCTTTGGCATCACAGCAATCAGGACAGAAGACTTATGTGACCAAATGCATAAGGATTTTCACCCACACACCAAACAAGCAATCCTACAGCAGACACTAGCTGGTGTTCTCCAATTCAATTCTGACACTATCTATCTACCTGGAGATAATATCTTGAGTTATTTCAGTATATAAAATTTACAGGTCTATACTATCATAAGACAATTTTAATTTTACCTTTATAATAAGGAATAGCAGACTCATGATTTGATCTTTTTTTCCTTCACTAGTATTGGGTGTTGTACCACTCCAATATGTGTTTGTTATGACATTTACTCTTGATGATGGAACAGGTGTATTAGAAGCCTATCTCATGGATTCTGTAAGTATCAGAGGTAGTAAAGATATTTTTAATTTAAAATATTTTAAAAATTTAAATTTTTTTAATATTTAAAAAATTGAATACATTTATTTATACCTGCTTTATTCCTAAAAGGACTTAAAGCAACTTAAAAATGTAAGTTAAAATATGAGCACATAAATTTTGAATCATCTGTGTATGTGTCTTTTTTATTTGACACCGTAAATCTTATTATTTGAATAATGAAAAATTAAAGAACAGGGATTTAAAGAGTCATTCTCTATACCTTAGCCAAAATGCAGAGATACGGCTACACTATGGAAGCATTATTTATAGTCAACATTTTATCATACTTTTTCAACCTCCACATTTCATATTAGAGGAAATTAAGTTACTTTGACAGGAGAGATAAATATTATTATATAAAGTTTTGAGGCAGTCTACAAAAACTTCCTCATTTCTAACACTAATTACAGCTTTGGAAGTCCCCAAGGCCACTCTTAGTTTTGATAATTCACAAAACATAGAATTCACTGAAACCTGCTATACTGACAGCTACAGATTATTACAGCGAAAGGATGTACATTAAAATCAGATAATGGGAGAGATGTGTAGGACAGAGTCCAGGAAAGTCCCAGACATGGAGCTTATGGTTGTCCCCTCCCCAGAGACTTGCAGACTGTTACTTTCCCTGCAACAATGTATAACAATATACGTAATATATTGCCAAATAGGGAAGCTCAGCTAAAAGTTTTTAGTGGATTCCATCATATAGGTATGGTTTACTGCCCATTGGCTGATCACAGTCTTCAGCCCCTCTTGAGATCAAGCTGATACCACATGCTCTGAATATCTTACCCTACATCATATTGTTAAACTATTAACAGTGACCAAAGCTTCCAGTCAAAAATACTTCTATCACCTGTGACATGGGAAGGGCTTAGAGATTACCTACCACAAGCTAAGGTCAAAGCCCATACTTCTCTTAGGGTAAAGTTAAAATGTTTACTACATGCATTGGAAAATATGTGAGGTAAAGTTAAGAGGAGAATTTTTCTCCTACCTACACAATTCATTTAACCTTTTATTAAATTATTGAATATTTAATGAGCACCTGCGGTGTGCTAGGTACTATCCTATGTGATGGAAGCAAAGCAAGCAAAATTCCTTCCTTCTTGAATCTTACAACCTAGTAGGGGAGATAAAAATTAAATAAATATATATATACTATATGTTATATTCATTTAAGCTTAGCACAAGATATTTTTTCTATGCAGAAAGAGAATAGCCTCACTTTTTAAATCATTATTACCACATCATTATTATTAAATCAGAGCAATTTACAGGTATTGATCGACTTACCACCTATGCAACTTACAACCATTCAACTTTATGACCACAATCGCTAGCCACGACTGCTCCGCGTCTGGCAGCGCAAACGTTGCCCAGCTGGGCGTACGACAGTGCGGACCAGCTTCCGGCAGCACTACCATCTCCCCGTGCACCATTTCAACTGTACATATAGCCTACTCAGCTTACTACCAAATCGTGTTACGACCGGTCTGCGGTCCCGACCGTGGTCGTAAGTCGAGCACTAGCTGTACTTGATTATATATATCTCAAAGCTATTTTAAGATTAAAGTAGTATTTTAATCTAATTAGCATTTTAATCTTCTAGGTAGCATTTTAATCTACTAATCTAGAATGCTGAGACCAGCATTCTAGTTTATGAATTCTACAATCTTGATAGAGTAAAATCGTCTAGATTATCTTTTAATTAGACAATATTGAAATATGTTTGTGTTAATAATAACATTACAGATGATATCATTTACTTTTTTTCTTCTCTTATAAAATATTTTTAAGGACAAATTCTTCCAGATTCCAGCATCAGAAGTTCTAATGGATGATGACCTTCAGAAAAGTATGGATATGATCATGGATATGTTTTGTCCTCCAGGAATAAAAGTTGGTAGGCAAGAATATTTTAAGAATTCCACACTTACTTTTACTTGAGATAGCAATAGCATATATGTAATCTGTGGACTTTGAGAAGTCTGAAAGCTTGGCTTCCAAATGAATTACTAAGTAGTGATTACTGTATGATCAACTTTGATGAAGACAGTGACAGGGATAAAATAGTTATGAATCATTTCTGCATTGAAGAGATTTTTTAAATATTTTTAAATATAGGAAAGGGAGGTAGCTTTGATTACAGGCACATGTGACGTTGTCATGCTACAAGCATTTTAGATGAAATTAGACCAAGAGTATAAATTGTTGGCAGTAAACGTTTTCTATAACAAATTCCAGGGTTATCCAGTTTAATCCATAATGAATTTTTTTATTTAGTGTTAACTAGTTTCAGATTTTGTAAAATTAAAAAGCTTATAGGCTTTTGTTTTACTAATTTTTTATAAGCTTTGTTTTCTATATAAACAAATTTTGATTAATAAACCAGATATTCCTCATTTCAAATTGTACTGCTTATACCTGCTGCTACTGAATTTTCCTTCTGTGGCCATATTTGTACTTATGTTGAAACTTGCAAATCTAAGTCATATTAAGACAATTTGATTTTTTTAACAACTTAACTTTTTATTGTAGGAAATTTCATCAGCTGCAGATTTAGCAGCTGTTTATCTTTATATGTTAATTTTAATCAAGCTTTACTTTCCCTGGTCAATCTTTGCATCTTATAATAGTTACATAATGATAGGAATTTCTGCTGATCTATAACAAAGTTTAACTTGAATACTTGTATTTGTTGTCAGTTTTAATTTGTGTTATCTGTTTGGGTTATTTTGGATAGATTTCTAGAAGTAAATCTTTATATAAAAAAACATGGCCTAGTAGACCCATTTTAACCACTATTTTAGATTTTAAATGTATATACCAACCATTTTGAAACACAAGATGTAATCACTGTTACCTATTTTTAGCAAAAATTCAAATTGGTCACAGTTGCTCCAGAATAATAACATGAATCTAGTATGTATTTGGGAAAGAGAATAATGTTAAATTTGGAAGGGACATTTACTTACTTTTCAAGCCAAAGTAAATGTCAACTTTTCTAGCTCAGTGGTATGCTTAGATACCTATTTCAGAGTTGTTTATTTTGTTTTAATGGTTAAATAACATTTTTGTTTTTGGTTTTGTAGATGCATATCCATGGTTGGAATGCCTCATCAAGTCATACAATGTCACAAATGGAACAGAGAATCAAATTTGCTATCAGATTTTTGACACCAGAGTTGCAGAAGATGTAATCTAATATTGCCATCCAACTTAGCATACACAAAATGTTGTAATTTATTAAAATGTTACTTTTCTATTAGATTATTATAAAACCCGTAAGAGATTTAGCTATTTTTTAAAATACCTTTCACAATTCCATTTTAACTAATATATTTTATTATTTTGACAAATAGATATTGTGTTATTTTAATGCCATCTTGTATGCTAAAAATGTTTCCGTTGCTCAAAATAATCAGGACGATGGCTTTCAGGTATATAAAAGAAATAGAGACATTGAATAAGAACTGTGTTTTCGTTTACTCTTCTACAGTCATTTTAGAGCAGTGGTTTTGTTAATCTACACTAGAACTCACATTTTCTATTGGTTTTTTGTGTATCAGCCACTGATTTCTCTGCCACTCACAATCCCTGGTTGAGCTTCTTTTCCTGCCCTGAGTTTTGTATCAGCAATGTCGATGATGTTAAGTATGGATATGGGATTAGAAAATGTCCTTATCTTAAATCTCTTGGCTTTAACTGGGTGCAAGGTAAATAATGGCTACGAATTTTGTTTTGCTTTTGTATAAAGGGATCTGCTAAAGCAAGTACTGCTTAGATAAGTGTTTGTCTGATCAAGCTACAGTGTACTTGAAGTAGAAATGGCAAAGTTGCTTTGTTGGGGTGCTGATACTGATGATTTTAGGGTAAATACATTTCTTTAGTCTTGAAATACATGGTTTGACTGCTTGTTCTCCAGGATGTTAGAGTTTTCGTTATTTCACCTCAACCTGATAAAGTGACTTAACATTTTTCTTTTCTAAGAGTCTCATGTAAAATATGCCAGTATTACAACTTACAACTAGTTGAAAGAGATGTTAACTTAGTAAAATAGTTTGTTTTTTACCTAACAACGTTTGTCAAATGTAAAATCATCAACATTCAATTTTGTACAAACATTTATATATATATATAGATTTGTGTATGTTATTTGCTAATGACAGATATAGATTACCTGGTTTAATATTAGTGAAGAATAAATAAGTGCACACATTTCAACTGTTTCATTTATTTGCCCCAAGTTGAGCAGAAAAATTATATGAGGCAAAGAATCAAAGCAGATGTGACAATACAGCAGATGTTTAGGGCTGTCTACACCCCAGGTATGCACTAAACACATATTTGATTCTCACAGCAACCCATTTTTCTGATAAGAAATCTGAGACTTGATTGATAAGCTGACTTGATTAAGTTTTTGCCCAGTTTTTAAATGCCAAAGTCTGTGCCTTAATTCAGGTAATATCTATTTAGAACCTGTACTGTTAACCATTCAGCGATTCTGGAACGGAAGCCAACAGTTTTCTGCAAATGAGTCATTGACTTAAATATCTGAAATAACATTGGAAATAGATTATAAGAGGAGTCAGTGTGTTTTTCTATATAGTACTTTCAAAAAACTTTTAGCATCTTATTGGCAAAAAAGGATTGGATAACTGATTTTCTCTGCTCATAATAACTCAAAATTCTAGTTCCTGAGTATATTAACACATCTCTATACCTAACTACCAATGTCCCCCATCATCAGCTTATCAGCTGTTTGAGACAGTGAGAGAGACTGATTTTATTGTTTTCAGGAATATAGACTCTTGGTTCAAAACATTTTCTTGAAAAATATTTTAAAACTCTGTAGTTGAACAGGTGTGTTTCCATATTGATAAAATGCTCAGGATACAAAGATGTGATAAACATTTTTTTCTGCCTCCAGGAAGCACTCAATCTAGAAAAGTAGAGGTCAAAAAGTACCACAGGTTCCTACTGTAAACCTGCAAGACCTCCAAGTTAAGAAAGGAAAACTTCCTATGAATCTTCATGATGATAGGTCATTTCTCTTTTTATTTTTGTTTTAAATAAACATCCACATTATCATGATTTCTTTTGGTTTATTGTGGGGTTTTGTCCTTTTTAAAAAACTTTTCAGTTTTGAGCAAGAATTGTTCTATCAACACCTAGTTTTTGTCTAGAGATGATGTATGCACTTTATGCTAATCACGACCCCACAGAGTTAGGAGAATTTTATTTCTGGAGCTACAACTAAATGGTAGTTCATTGTGCCCCAGTTTGATCCCCACCCCCTTTACGTGAACACTGATAGAATCTCCGTGTCAGATTTTAAATTACATAAATTTAAGAAAGTGGTTTGTGTACAGCCTCAGCCTCAATTTCCAGTTTCTGCAGCATCCACTTTTTAAGACATTACTGGATTGACTCATGTTGTCCCTGTACTGCTCTTAGAAAGCATGTCTTAGAAAAATCTGAGACAGTCCATTATTCTTTATCTAGATGTAGCAATGAGAAATGCACTTATTAAAGGCTTTTTCTGTGTCCACCTTCAATTATACTGCTGTATTTGAAGGAACTATACATGCCAACATACAATGTATCATTCCTCATTCTTTTTACCCCTTCTCATGCTTTAGTTTGGGAATTGTTTCCAAATCATTATAGAAAGACTGATGTTGATAGAAGCAGCCACTTTTAACAATATGGTGTATAATTTTTCAGATTGTTCTTTCTAAGAACATGTGAGCATGTGTGTATATATACATACATACACATATAAGCATTATGTGATATATCTCTGCAACTTTTTTTTGTCATTTTATATAGAAAACTGTATTTTTTCATATTGATTTACGGGGAGAAACTCATTGCTTATAGTTACTCAGCATAAATAACTTTCAGTGTGTAATTCTCTGATAATTTTACTTTCTGTTTCTGTTGTGGTTTTTTGTATAAGTATTCTGTTTTTTATTGTGCCAGTTTTTGATTTTGTGTTTTACAAAAATATATTTTTGTTACCTGTTTTACTACCACATATTCATGATAATGTGTTTTACTTATTTTATTTTGTATTTTGTCTGGTGTTATTTCCCTTTTAAATGAATCTGTAGACCCAGAGACCTAATTTCACTATATCTTCTGGAGTTTTTAGGTGATTAGAATTTTGGAGACCTATACAGACTTCCTAATACAGGATTAGGACTCTGCATGACATGGTTGTTTTAAATTATTCTTTCATGTTTTGAGGAATTTATTGTGAAATGAATATTAATGTAAGAAAAAAGAACATCTTCTGTAATGCTTTTCATTAGGAAATTGACTCCATGAAGAATATGATGAGTCACACGAAAGTTCTAGAACATTATTTTAGGGGAAATATAAATATCTCTTTATTTCCTGGCCCCTCAGAATCTCTGGATAATGTCAACCTTACCTATTCCAGGGAAAAGGGACCTAGTCACCTAGTAAAATCTGGGCATAATGACCTGTCTTCTCTCTGGTTCTTGGAAAGAGTATCTAAAGTCACTAACCAGGCACTCAGAACTGCTCTCAGGTATGTGAGATCCTATCTTCTTTTGGCAGTCAGTAAAGTAATCAGTAAAGTGCTATGTTTGTTTGTTTGTTTGTTTTCCACTATTGTGATTTAAGCTGTTAGGAAATTTGAGATAGGGATTCTAAGTGATGATTATCTTAAATGGAGATAAATAAATGTCTCTCTTCCATCAGGAATGCATTTGATGGGTTGAAAATTATTAAGCATCAATTATAATGACAAAGATAATGTAACAGTATATATGGGAGCTCTCCCTCCCACAGCCAATTGGTAAAACATGGATATTACAGAGATTCCTCTGCTATTTTTAGACTATAGCAACATCTTAATGAATTTCTAATATTTTTCCTTGAAATCTTGGCCACAGTCAGTCACACTGGTAGAAAGAGGTTGTGTGTGTGTGTGTGTGTGTGTGTGTGTGTGTGTGTGTGTGCGCGCGCGCACTTGCTTTTATTCTCTTCTTTGAGTTCACTTTGCAATTTACCTGAAAATCTAGTCCACAACTATCAACTTATGTCGAAGTTTCTTTTATTTCCTCTATTTGCAGTATTTTAAAGATTTGGAGCGGGTGTGTTAAAAACCTTAATCTTCCTATTGTTTATTAATCAAATATTGATGCAGTTCCTCAACATGTACCTTTTTATATACAACCTTGTTTTTTTCCCAATAACTTCAAAATAGTTTTCCTCTTCTTTGAAATTGGAACTCCCAGATAGAAGCTCTTTTGTTGTTAAAAAACTCTATTCCTCAGCCGACTCCTGTCCTCCATTAGAAGGCAGTCTTTCTAGAATTTAAAGTCTCTTGCCAAGTTTAGCTACCTCATAAGTGACATTGCATTGTATCCCATGCTTTTATAATAGTTAATACATACATAAATAGCTAATGCAAGTCTCTCATAGCACTACAGGGAAGGTAAGTCATTTTAAAATTAAAAGCATTAACCTGTGGGCTAAAGTAAAAACATAGCTTGCAACAGGTAGGCAGGGCTGTAGTTTTATTTTTGTATGGGAAATGTTTTGTGCTTAATTTTCATTAGAAAAGTTTCTAGAAAAATAAACATCTTTAAATTTTGGAATCATTAAATTTTTTTTACAATAAAAGCTTAAATGGAGGTTAAAACAAAGAATACAAAGTACAAATAGATATGTAAAAATTAATGCCTCTGCATTCATTTATTACTCATACAGTGTCTGTATCCAAAAAGGATTTGATGTGATTTACAATAAAAGACAAACATGTGCCACAGGACACACCTTTAGAAATAGGGCAAGAAGGGCCAAAGAGAGAAGTGTTAAAATAATTTAAAAATTCTAACCTAAGGAATGCTACACATTTTGAACTACACTTATTGAAACAGCAGTGTTCCCTGACCCTCTAAGGACATGTGACAGTGGTGTGGCTCTCTGTTTGGGCCACTGCAAGCTCAAACCCCTTATGGGAGGGGGAGCACACACAGGCAGATACAGGAACTGGGGTGAGAACTTTGGGGCTTCAGCCCCACGGCAATGTCTAGGGTTGGGTGCCTGTAACTCCTGAAGCCCCAGTATTATGGTGCTCCTTTAGCTCTGCCACCCGCAGACAGCTTAAGTGTTAACCACTCAGTGCCCCCTTGTCACCCAGGTTCTTGTTTGGAGTCCAAGAAGAATAAGGTCACACATGGACTTGAAGGATGAATGTGGGGTTTTTATTGTGTAGTGGATGTGGCTCTCAGTGGGGTGGATGGGGAATTAGAAGGGAGATAGATTGGGAAAATGATCCCCTGGAATTCGGCCATCCACCAGCAGATCTCTCCAGTTGTCCCCAGCCAAACTCCTCTCAGTGTTCAAGTACTCCATCCCTTCTCTCCTTCTCTACTGCTCCCTTCTGCCATTTGTCTGCCTGTCTCCTCATCTGCTGCAGGAGCCTAGGGTCTGGCATTTATATGGGTACAAGATAGGGGGATATGGCAGGCCAAAAAGCAAGTTTTTGGGCATGTTCTAATTTAGGTCCGTGGGTTTCCAGGTTACATTGCTTCTACTAAATAAAAGTTACTAAATTATGTTACTAGGAAATACATTTTATTTATCTCAACACTGAGTGCAAGTACATTTTTATATTAGACACCCCAAACAGAATGATTTATGTAGTTAATGGTAGTTGCTTTAAAATGCAAAAATATGATCCACAATGTAGGAGTTAAGTTCTGAAGATGGAAGAAATGGAGCAGGGGAATTTTCTACTAAATATCCACCTTTTGTCTCATGTGAGGAAGGTTTTTGTTTTAATAATTAATGTTAAGAGTCTGAAATATCTGCATATTTAAAAATTATTAGAAACACTAATGGCAAGAAAAAGTCATAAATATTTTTCTGGTATTAAAAAATCTATTCCCTTCAGATACAAAAGTCACTGAGAAAATTAGCTCTTTTTACCTTTTCCTTTTCTGGTTGTAGATGATAAATTAAAAGAAATGTCTTTATGAACATAATGATTCATGTCAGGAATAATGCAGGTTTTAATGAGTCATTTAGAAGACATGTATTCCAGTTTTTCACCTTCAGTGCTCCATGGAAGGTGTTGTTTTAGTCATAAGTCAAACAAGCTTCACACTTATGCCAAACTGGGAATTTGCTGGGAGAGTATTTTAACTACATCAAATTTACTTGGCTCTAATACCCAAACATTACATCTTGTCATCCATGATTCCTCTTTCTTTTGCACTCCACATCCAATCCATTGTAAAAATTATCATGGCTTACTCTAAAATACATCCAGAATTTGACCATTTATTACCACTTCTACCATCATGTTGGTCATGCTACTATCTTCTTATGCCTGTACTATATCCGGTGCCCTGCAACTAGTCTTCCTGCCGCCACAATTTTCCCACGTATTACACTCTCAGCCCCAGGTCAATCTGTTAAAACATAAGGCACATCTTATTTTCCATGTGATTGCCATGGCCTTCACCACCCAGTGTGATAGATCCAGTTCCGCGCTACCATTCTAATAAATTCTACTCTCATTTTTCTCCTTTCATTGCTTTTCAAACACTTGTCTTATTTTTTTAACCTACTGGGCCTTTGTACATGATGCTGTTACTTTATTCTGGATACTGCTGAGCAGTTGTAGGTTTCATGCTTCATTGCCTGACATCTCTGTTCCAACATAATCTTACCAGAAAGGCCAACCCTGACTATATAAAGGACCACCCTGCCCATCCCACTCCACGCCCCCACCCCTGCCTTTATTTTTCTCCACAGCATTTATTCATCTGACATAGATTTGTTTGCTGATCTCACATATATTTATTTGCTCTTTCCTCAGTAGAATATGAGCTCCTTAGAGGCACGGAGTTTGATTTGTTCACTGCTATTCACCAAGTATCTAGAAATTCATGGCACATAAGTGCTCAGTAAATATTCCTAGAATGAATAAAATGATCATCTCATATTTGAGAACTCTCTCCCAAAAATATTAGGTTAGTGCAAAAGTAATTGGGGTTTTCGCCATTTAAAGTAATGGCAAAAATACTAGAATTTATTAGCATCTCAAGTGA